TCTTTAAATGGAAAGAAACTAGAAAGGCGACAAGAGAGACGGAAAACAATACGTATGGAAATATGAGGATAAACAGAAGCAAGAACTTTACTAAGTTGTATACGGATATGTAGACCATGATGTCCAGTGAAAGGAAGGCAAAAGTAGACAATTTTCTTGGAACATGTATGGACCTTGTCCTTGGTATTATAAATCCTGTCAAGAAATACTGTATCAAACTATACTACCAATCCCACAGTAATTATACTAGTTGGGATTGGAATCTTAACGAAATGCATGTTTTTGTTATTGGTATCTGGATGACTGTATCAGACTATACTACCAATCCCACAGTAATTATACTAGTTGGGATTGGAATCTTAACGAAATGCATGTTTTATTTATTAATATCTGGATGACTGTAACATATTATAATACCAATCCCACAGTAATTACAGTATACAAGTTGGTATTGGAATCTTGACGAAATGCGTGTTTTAATTTTTTGTATCTGGATCACTGTATCAGATTATAATACCAATCCCACAGTAATTATACTAGTTGGGATTGGAATCTTGCCAAAATGCATGTTTTAATTTTTGATATTTGGATGACTGTATCAGACTATAATACCAATCCCACAGTAATTATACTACTTGAGATTGGAATCTTGCCGAAATGCGTGTTTTAATTTTTGATATTTGGATGACTGTATCAGACTATAATACCAATCCCACAGTAATTATACTAGTTGGGTTGAAGAAGACCTTTGTTTGATGTTGAACTGTACTAACTAAATTCACTACATGTTACTCATCGTTGTTGCACATTTAATATGAGCTTATCCATATCGTATGGAAACTTAATTAATCCATTGAGCTGCAATGTGCCCCAGTGCGCCTTACTTATTTTTTTTACTTGTCTAATGGCAGACGATTTTACTTTGCCGGGCACAAATCAAAGGAACACAATGACTTTTGTTTAGTTCGCAGACCATCATGTCAAATGTGTTCACAATGAATAATGAATACATGTTATTTATACTCTTGGTGCTCAGTGCCAATGTAGTAGTGATAATAGCAGACAGCTGTGGTAGGTACTATGAGATACAAATATTATCTGAAAAATATAAGCAGTTCTGTAAATCACATTACAGAAATATTTTGATAGGTGATACTATAAATATCGGAAAGGTTGGGAAAACTATTCAAGGGCTGTTTATATCCATGCTCACTTTAACTCTTGCAGGAAATAATCTTGAATGAAATAGTCAGTGTAGCTGTTCTGTTGTGGCCAAATGAGCCCGGTACACAGGGGTGTACATTGGGCGGGGGGGGGGGGCGAGGGGATTTGAAAATCACAAGAAGTTGGTCCCAGTTTTATTGCACTCCTCTATTTCTGTGCTAACGTATAGCTACAAATGCCTGTTCCAGAACAGGAAAGTCATCCCAGATCATCCCCCCCCCAGCAATTTTTGAATGTGTGCCCATGTTGGTACATATAAACAGCCCCTAATAATGAACATTGTTTGATAGGCAATTTTCACCCAGGCTGGCCAGGCATTTTTAATATTTTTTGCTGTTTGAAGTTTTGAACTCGATATGTACACTTCATACCAGTTTAATACAGTCGATACTAATAGTCAGCACATAGTCCATATAAACGTCGCTACTGTATATAAACCATTAATCCATTATTCCATGGCATGGTACGTGATTCTTCAAAATATTGAAAATATATAGCCCTATATATAAGTATAAAATATATCTCCAATACTCGCGTATAAAAACTCTCCAATTTTGACTTTCAATCTTCACAGGGAACCACTTTTACCATAAATACAACAAGCAGAAAGAGCATCTAATATCGCGAGCCAAAAATTATTGCCATTTACACACTTAATAGTCCGATTTATTTACTCGAAGTCATTAATATTTATAACACTGCTTGCTCGTCGCCATATTGAATGCGCTATATTGATAAACGGTAGTCTGGCACTAGTATAATTTGTTTGCTACTCAGATTGGCGAGATTGGTAATCTGGCAAGTATAAATACTGCGCCTCCCGACCAATCTCATAGTTATTATACTAGCTAGATTCTTGCGAACCGCCTGGTTTATATTATATTGTGAACTAAATGTGTATTAGGCAAATAAGAACCATGCAATGAATGTCTTGGTATTTTGAATGCAAGCTTTATCTTTACTACTTGCTCGAACTCTAGTAGCTACTGCGCGAATTTTAATACATGTATTAATGTATATTGTTTCGTTGGATCAACGGATATACGTATGTTTAGTTAAACATTAATAGAAACGTTTGAGATTACTTAAGTTGATTGACATTAAAGGAATATATAGTTTTGTTAATTGAGACCGGACGTTAGAAGGACGCAAATTGTAAGAGATCTGTAGATCGAGTCTGTTTAACCGTTAGTATTAAAATACTGATTGCTAACCTGTTTTGAAGAGTAAATTGAGGACATTAAGGACTGCTAACCTGAGTTATGATAATTGTATGACTGGATATTGCCACAGAAGTAAGTAATATTTACGTACGCAGTATATGCTGATTATTGTAATATATTCCTAAGACAAGCCAGATATTATTCTCATTTAAGATATTAGTTACATCATATATTCTTTGTTTAATTTAGATCGAATTGTTTGATTATTTCATAATTATAATACGATATACAATATCCAGTCGACGTGTTTGATTTATCGACTTTGCGAACCATATATTGTCGACATTTCGTAGGTGAAAAGAATTGGCTAGTTTACATTGTTCATTATATTATGAAATATGATACTAATTAAAATTCGCGTCGAGCTAAATGTTATTGTATTAGGCAAATGAGAACCATACAATAAATGTCTTAGTTCTTGTAGGTATTTTGAAGGCACGGTTTATCTTTAGTATAGCTACCACAACGCGTTTGGCGCACCAACTAGTAGCTACTGCGCGAATTTTAATACATGTATTAAGGTGTATTGTCAACATTGTGTAGTGAAACTGTCAAACCTTTAACTTTTCCTTGTTTATATTTTGTTTATATTATATTGTGAACTAAATGTTATTCTATTAGGCAAATGAGAACCATACAATAAATGTCTTAGTTTTTTTTGGCATTTTGATCGAACGCTCGCTTTATCTTTACTTGCGCAAATTCTAGTAGCTATTGCGCGAACTTCAATACATGTATTTTAATATGGTCAAACCTTTAACCTTGCCCTTGTTTATATTGTATTGTGAACTAAATGTTATTGTATTAGGCAAATGAGAACCATACAATAAATCAAAATAAACTGTCGAACCTTTAACTTGTCCTTGCTTATATTCCACTATATTGAACAAATTTGCGTCGGGTCCAAATTTTGGGGTTTTCGAGTCGTTTAATACAACATATTGATTGTATAAATCCGCCGGGTCGGCCAAATTTTGGAAGCCAAATTTTAGAAAGTTCAGAGTGCGACACAACGTAAAATCCATAGGAAACCGGCACAACTCTTTGAAAATTCAACGAAACTGTGTGAAATATATTCTGATCACTCGGCCAAAAGGCGCCATTTGGAAACTGGACTGACTACGTCACCATTGGAGTTCGGAATTGTGCGCGTGCGTATAAGTCCATATATGTCTATATATGGGCTAATAAACGAAAAATGCACCACAAGCATGGCATGAGCCGGCTAATACGTACATAAATACAAGCTTCTTACTATTATACATGAATCGTGGAGTCGAAGAATCGATGGCATTTTGGATTAATCGTTGCACCCTGAGCCTGCGATGCGCGAACGCAAACTCGATTTCTCGACAACGAAAAAAAACAGAAGAAAACAGAAAACTAGGGATTTAAGACACTTGACCTTTCAGGTCAGTGTAATAAATTATTGCTGCCGCAGCGAGCGAGCATTAAGCGAGCGAGCAAGGCAGCAGACTAAAATCGAATAGCTACTTAAAATCTCAATCTTGCTAGAGCCGCAAAGCATGTTGGTTGAAAGTCATTTTACCAACATGCAACGCGCGGCTACCAGGGCGGCTATTTGAATTGCAGTGCTATTAAATATTTACAATTCTTCACTTTCACGCTGTTTTTAAAAGCAATATTGCACAGGTATAAATCTACAATAGAATTATAAATGCAGTTAATTAATCTGTGAGCGAGTGGTAGTTCAATACAGAAAGTTTCAGACCCATTTTGCATGACATAACTCATATTAAAATCACTAACGTCACTAACAGGCGAAGAACAGTCGGGGAATTTTTTTCTACAGCCAATCACTTGTCAGAAAACAGCCGTAAACAACCTAATTAAAACAAAATCTTTGTATTGCTTGTAAACTTGAGTGAAGTATTGAAAATTTAACTCAGTTTACAAGCCAGTGAAATGGAAAAATCGCTGCAAATTGCAGTATTGTCGCACCAAAGTTGCAGTCAAAATCCCAGAGTGTGTACATTAGAGATTTCAAAAAATCGTTGTAGAAATCGCAGTGAAAATTGCAAGTGTAAACAGGCCTTTGTGTGAAGTAATGTTCACTAAAGCATAAGCAAGAATATATCAAGTGGAATCTGTTGAATTAATCGCTGTTTTTATAGTGCGCGTACAAATACAAACGACAAATACTATCGGATTTCATATTAAGTCTAATACTACTATATTTCACTATATTTTAGATAGTATTTTAATACGTTTCGCAGTTTTATAGGCTACGCTTCAAATTTTGTATTTGTATATTTCGTATATGCGAATATGCGATAACACATCTTTGATTTGCAATCACTACAAATAGTATTTTAGAACGTTCATGGCGTGTGCTTCTTAAAGGCAGCATTTACTACATTTTAGGTAACCTAGTATATTTTGTTAATATTCAATTTCCCTTGTCAGTATGCAGGGCACGAAATGGGAACTGTTATTACATCCAGTACGTGCTGGGCTATTCATAGTCCATTATGCAGGGGGTTTTAGCCGGTTTTAACACCCCCTCCACTTTTCAGTGTTCAAACCAGTTGGTAAATTAGTCAATTGATAGAATGCTCTCGGTAAACTCTGAACTATGGTCGGTAAATTTGTTAAGTTACATGAATATTGAATATACAGTAGTGATATCGACCAGCTCCATGACTGACTTTGAGGAATCTTTTCACAACGTCATATGCAGTCGGACAATTGATTGCAACTATAGTGTACAGGTACATAAAATCAGGAATCTATTCTATGACGTTTCATCATCATATTGGCAGAAGTATGTTTGATAGATCAGTCGTGAATTATTTTTCTTTTTCTGCAAGGGCTTGTCGTTTTGAAAACGTTGATCAGGAGGATGCTTATGTAATTCGTCCATTTCCTTCAATGTGGAAATGTGGTGTAGTGGTTCCAGATGGTTTTGATCCAATGGCTTTCGACACAAAGCGTTTGCAAAGCCTGTGTAGATCTTTAGATATCCTAATTCACATGAAAGAAGGTATAAAGGAATTTGGACTTGAATGTGGTAAGGATCTGTAATATACGACATACTGTATGGTATTATACATACTGTACATATGCCTAAATGTATGGCGAGGGTGGAACCGAAGAGAAAAGGGTTGGGTAAACAAAATTTTGAGTGAGTAAAAAGGTTGGGTAAATGAAAAACAAAACAACTCAGGGGGTGGGTAATAAAAATGTATTGACATTTCCAGAGTATGGCTTACTCAAATGTCGAAGACTAAAAAGCAATGTCGAAAGTCATATGTCAATACAATATGTAAATCACTAGTCGAGTCACTATCGTGATCACTTTCCGACTTGTCAAGAGGCAAATGGTGTCTCCAAAAAAGTACATGTGCAGACAACATGAAACTTTAGACTGCAGAAAATTTTTTCACAAGCAGTTATCAAACTCATGTCAAAGAAGTGGTAAAGGACATGTGACAACTGAACGGTATCCTTTTGTAAAGTTTTTGGCCAGGGTATTTATACTTAATTGATATTTAAGGTTGGGCAAAAAAAATATATTTTGACTTTTTAATGGTTGGATCAGCAAAATTTATATCAAGTAAAGCATTCTCCCCCCCCCCCCCCGCCATAAATAATTACTGGTCCCTAACTAATCCGCATTTTTTTTGTGTTCAGGCAACGAGTGCTCTGGGAACGGGAGCTATGCTTTATCCACAGTCGTCATGCCATGGGAGGGTGACGAAATCATACCAGACAAGTTGACCGTCTTCAACAAGATATTTCAATTTCACCAGGAAATATGGGAGGACCAATTGGATGTTTTAAACGAGCGTTTTGATGATAAAGTACCTTTTCATTTGGTAGATCATGTTCGTGAAGAAAATAAAAGAAAATCACCATGTTTGAACAGCGTTTTTGGCCGTCCTAGTGCATATTACTGGAGTGACTGGGCAGAAAACGAATATGACTACGAAAGAGAACTGGCATTCTTTACATGGCTTCAGAACATTATGGTCCCGAGTAGAGTTTATAGTGCCGGATATGGTAAGATGAGTCCCGCGCCGTTATTTTTTATAACGACACTCGCTCCGGGCTGGGTTGGAGGAATACTGTCATGCGAATTTGCGGATTAGTTGAAAATTATATAACTACTGATAAAATTTTCTAAACAATTAGAATTGATAGATCTAGAGCTGTAAGGAATCCTACACAGAACAAATCTGATTGTATAAAATGCGTATGTCGTGGTGGCATCATTGGCATGCATTGTACGAAATCATATATGGCTTGCTATGTTGCTAACTTTAACTTGAGTTTTATTTAATAGTCATTATTTAATATGACAATTACGTTATATGGTGTGATTCCATGCTCCTGAACGTTGTATGGTACCAGACTTTTATAAGTTTTTCGAAATAACTGGTGGGGAGGCGGCCGCCCCCTTATCCCATGTGCGTGGATGACGCTTTCCTGTGCAGAAAACCATTTTGCAGAAACCTGTGCAGAAAACTTGGTGGAAGTAAAGTGAAAGTCAAGTCCGTTCTGCGTATCGGTTCTGCTCATAACAATATGAGGACCTCTAATGTGAACATTGCCCAAATTTCGAATGCTTCGAATTTTACTGAACATAAACTCTATTTCATATTCATTTAGAAGCATAGCGAACCAAAATGGTGTTAGATATTCAGACAGTGCATCATATTTTAAAAAATACAGCAGTTCAAAATGTAAACAAACCGTTTACATTATGGACTTGACTTCCACTTTAAGGTTTGGATCGGTTTATCTTACAAAAATTCAACTTTAATTTAAAGTAACTAAATAGCCGACAGTTTACTAAACACCCAGCTGCCGGCTGTCTAGTCACTTTGTGTTGCTTTATAACTCAATGATTTTGTTATTTCACTGATGAATAAAAGTAATGTTGACCGTGATATGCTCTCGTCCAATGAGATGCAAGGAAACATGAACTTTGACATTTGGTATATAATGAAATAAATTGTGACAAACGTTTATTGTCTTACAGTCACTACAGTGTAATAGACCTTATGCATAATGACGTCACAAGTCTTGATGCCCGCAAAGAATGCTGGTCTTTGTAGTCATCGCCCGGGAAAATTTAGATAGTGGCCATTTTGAATTGTTTAATTTTCCCGGGCGATGACACTAAGACCAGCATTCCTCGTGGGTTTCAAGCCTTGTGACGTCATTAGCAACATTGAACAGGCTTTTTGGAAAATCTAATTTGCTATTCAACTTACAGTTCCTGTTGGACTCTCAAAGATTCCTACTCCACCACTCTCCAAAACAGAATACAAGTTTTGCATGAACTTCACCTGAATGCCATACGGAGTGAATGGGAACTGGAAATAACCAGGTTCTTCATATACGTGCCCTTTGGACTCGCTTGTAGCTGTCAGTGATTTATTTTCAAGGGCGTCAATCTATCCCAAAAAATGGGGGGGGGGGACTCCAAACTAGGAAGGTCCGGAGGTATGCTACCCGAATTTTTTTTAGTAAATTTTGATACGCTGAAACGGCATTTCCAGCGTTATAGAGACACTTATAAAGTTATATTACAATGTGCACGACCTTAAATCCATTTTTAACCATGTGCGAAATCCGCTAAAAACCAACATGTCCTGGCCTGTGAACAGACATCACAAGCACGCGCTTCGTCGAGAATAACGTCGCGTCTGTTCGCAGACTAACACGTGTTCGCCCTTATTTTAATGCTAATAATCTATTAAATCATTTGCCTCGTTTTGATGATAATCATCTATTTAATTAAGGGAAACTCAGTTAAGACGCAATTATTTTTAAGTATTTACAATTATACATAACATATGCGATGTCAGTATTTGCTCCCAGCGGCTACAGAAAGATCATACATAAATAGCACACCATGCATTAGGTTTTTGGATAACCAAGAAGCAAAATTTTATTAAACAAGTCAAAAAGTGGGGGGGGGGGGATAATTAGATATCCCCCCCAGGATTGACGCCCACGTTATTTTCCTGTTCTTTGGCACTGGCCATTGCGTACAACGTTTTGGGAAACTATTTTAAAAGTACTAGTCTTGGAAATAATAACACGAAGAAAAACCTTTAAAAGTCGCATTCTTTGGTACCTTGTTTGTTGATTTTCTGATTTTCAAGGGGGCGTAATGGTGGGGGGGGGGGGGGGGGGGGGGGGGGGGGGGTACCAATCCTGAAGCACGAGAAATAATATGCAGCGATCTTGAAACATGAAAAATAAAAGAAGGAAGTCCTGAAGCACGTAAAATAACAAATTTATTACGAATCTGAAGGTCTTAGAGGTCTTAAAAGTGAATATAAACAGTCCGTACTGGGCGGTGTATTCACCTATTTGTTTACAATTGCGTCGATGTTCGTGATTTATAAAATTTGAAACCTGCGTTCCCCAATCAAAACATAGCCAAAATCCAGAAACAAAATTAATGGAATATATTGTCCAGAAACGAGAAATAACCGTCTTAAATACTGCTGAAAACGGAGAACGGATATTGAATACAACGCAAGCACGATACACGGCATCCATGTCGGCATCGAAAAACGTTTAATAAAAAGATGACTGAACGAAGAACGAATAATTAAATTACCCCAATACGGAGCACGAAAATACCCCCATTTAAAACCACCCGCTTTCAAGAACTTCGAACATGGCGGGAAAGCAGGAAGAAGGGGAGAAATTGAGTTCCTGTATATCACTTCCGGTTCCCAGAAAATTATATTCAACGATTCTATTTTTAATAGTCAGGCAAGTGTAACTTGCTGTTTATAGTTTCAAAATTACAATTATATTTTACAAATTTCGCGGCAAGGATTAATAAAGCGTTACGTAAGTTATGTCTGAAGAATCTGCAATGTCATTACGTTTCGATGTGCCGTATAAAATTATATTTAACTGGCTTCAAACACGAGACGTTCTTCGATGTATGCAAGTTTGTAAGTCTTGGAAGGTATTAAAATGTTATTTAAAGTTCATTATTAATCAAATGTATATTATTATATTTGTTGTTTTCTCCATGTAGTATTTTAATAGACTAATAAATTATTATTATACCGTAGAATATTACAAACAATATTATTGTTGCAACTGCATATGATATACTGTATGATATCAACAATAAACATGATCAAGGGGCATGTCTGTCCTATTCTTTGTTCCTTTAATGCACCTATCAATGTTTTCCCCCTGAGGGGGGTTGCGGGCACCCAGGGGAATTTTGACATTTTTAAAATTTTGTTGTCAAAATCCCCACTGTTGGGCAAGGAACGGCTGTCAAAATTCCCCACTATATTTCCTAAGATAACAAGGCACACATATGTTTTCCAATGCGAACATACAGTCTATACTGGTTTAAACTTGGTAAAAATTGAGACACTGTATATAAAATACCTTTATCGATGAAACTTGATCGTGCTTTTCCGCCATACTTGTTACCAGGCCTTTAATGTCAAAACCGCGCAAATTTTTAAGATGGCGGATGTCAAAATTTACCAACTCTGAGAGTTGATGCATAGGTCAAATTCCCCTCCCTGGTGCTTCATAGTGTGGTCAAAGTCCCCTGGGTTGCCCGCACCCCCAGGGGAAAACAATGATAGGTGCATAATACTGGTATTTATATAGCCAAGACACGAGAACCTGCAAAAGTGCCAATGGTTGAAACTTCCGCTTCATGAGTGCACAGTCTGTTTTGCATTTCTTTCTGTATCATGTACTGTAGCAGCAGATTTTGCAACTTTTATGTGTGAACATACAGGGAATGATAAAAATGATTAATTTGCCAATTTATGGTAGCTGCTACAGTAAACAGTACAACATAAAGTATAAAATGACAACAGATTACAGAATTGGAAAGGTCTTATAATTTGACTATGGCAAGTAATGCAAATTACATGTTTACTAGGAATACATGGAACAACTGCAAGCGGAGGAATTATATAGTACCCTTGTTACATGTGTGCTAGGGGATTTATATTGTGACTGTTTTATTAAATAATGCTTTACTAATGGTAACTAGCATGCATAGCAGCCGGGGGTTTTTAATTGTGGGAGGACTTGCACTGCAGGCAGGAAAATTAGGGTTAAAGTCTTCCCAGAGACCTGGTAATATGCTAAATAAATGTAATTAACATGCACCCCCATCCCCCCAGGCTTCCACCCCAATTGGGTGTTGGAACCATTGGCAAGAATATAACTGGAACGCTACCTTCAGATAAACTGCCTATATTTTTCCGAAAGCCAAAATCTTTGAGTCGACTGATTGCGCGCTCTTCACACATGTGAAAAGACTGGAACTGGCCTTCAAGTTTGGCGTCAAATTTTTGGTTGAAGGCAGCGTTCCAGTTATATTCATTGGATATGGATCATGTGCCCCCCAGTTTGTTTTAGCGAGCCAGATTTTCCAGACTAATAAATTATTTTCCAGATTAAAATTGTAATTTTCTAATGGAAATGAACACCACCTCCCCAATCCTAGAATACATTAACCCATTTAGCCATCTGGGCACATTTCCACTTAAAGGGTTAACAGCTGGGTGCATGGGCACTAGTCTGATTAACCCATTGAGTGGCAGCACTCTCCCCCTGGCGAGTAAAATCGTCTGGCGTTAGACAGAGTAAAATAATAAAGTGGGCACATAATGCCATCTGGGCGCATTGTTAAATATCCAATCAATCCCTTTGAAATTTAGCAAAAATTAGTTGAAATCATTAATTTACTGTATGACCTCATGTCACTTAAAAATATTATTTTTGATAAATATTTGAAGTGGGCACATAATGCCATCTGGGCGCATTGTTAAATATCCAATCAATCCCTTTGAAATTTAGCAAAAATTAGTTGAAATCATTAATTTACTGTATGACCTCATGTCACTTAAAAATATTATTTTTGATAAATATTTGATTAACTAGCTCAGAATATTTTGTCAATTTTTAGGCTCAGCTATCGGATTTACACTTCTGGAAGGAATTTATCAAGGAGAGTTTTGATTTAACTGTCGAAAGTGATATTGAGAAATTAGAAGGTTCATTATATAAGTGGTCACATCCAGACGTTTGGTAATCATTGGCATTTGGTGTCCTTAAAGTGCCTATGACACGAAATTTCACCCCAAAGGTTTATGGTTGCATTGTAAACATCACTTAAAATGACTTAAC